TAATCTTGATGTGGTTGTGTTCTCTGAGCTGGATAGTTAATCTACGAAGCTTTCATCGCCCTACTAGGTGACGTCTTCAGCACATACTTCGTATCAGATGTGTTACGTTTGGCTGTTTCAAAGGTGTTGCATCAACTTTTCAGACAGCTCCAATAGCGCTGTTGTAGCGTTTTCTATACTATCGCGAAAATACCCAGTGAGAGCTTTTACGTTCAACCAGAGTTTTGGTCAAGAATATAGAGAGCATACTTGCTTATTCATAAACAATGCAACTAATCTTATCAACAAATATAGTTGCGTATGAAAAAGACGTAAACAGAGAAGAAAAATTTCTTTTCAACGATTCATTTTTATAAGCTCTACACTCTGACATATATTTGACAAAGAAATCATCAGACCCATCAAATTTGTCCTCGGAAAACGTTTTACACAATATAAGGTATAACCTAGGTGGTCTCACTGTCTGTCTGTTTTCAACATAGAACTTTGCACATATGTGCACCAGTTCAAGTCGCCACACTTCACTCCTTTAAGGATACAAAGCAAGAGAAGAAAGTAGAAGAAATGTCAAATAGAGACAGTAAACAGACGTGTGAGACAATGAAATAGAAGTAACGAAGAACTATGTAGTTTCATTGGAAATCATAGGTCACAAGGAGTGGATGCGTCTGCACCAGCTAGTGAGAACGATTTTGGGCCATATCACCGATTTTCTCCAGCCAATGGTTTCTACCGTCCTGAGCACACCAACCAGGAAGCCAGTTTACGCCTTCCTACGTGGCTTAAACTAACTGTTGTGGATTTCACTGACTGATGAAGCCATGTTTTAGTTTGACCACCACTAGCAATTTTCCAACTTGATCCGTCCTATATCAGCTAATATTTTTCATCTGTCGAGGAAGGCGATGACTAGAGATGCACGCATAACACATGTGTCCTAACCATCTCAGTCGATGTAGCTTCACAACCTCGTCGATTGATTTCCCCTCCTTACCTAGTACTCGACGCCTAACCTCAATATCGCTCACCTTATTATACCACTTCAAACGGGAGATAGAGCGCAGGCACCTATAATCAAACACCGCCAGCTAATCCTTTCATGTCTTCCACTCTCAATGGCCAGCTTTCACAAACATAAAGGAGGATTTATCGGACTGCTGAGCAGTACACACGCTCTTTGGTCGATAGTCGGATATCACGTCTACACCAGAGACGGCGTAAACTGGCATATGCGAAACTAGCCCTCTGTATTTGTGCTGAGATTTCGTCAGAGATCAACCCATTGGCACTGGTTGATGGTGTTTCCCACATAAGTGAAGCGGTCAACGTGCTCTACCACTTCACTCTCCCCTTGTATCTCTTCAGGGATAACCAGAAGCCTATATAGGAAGTTATATGCTCGCACTAGTAAGTACAAAAATGCAACCATACCCTACTTAGCTCGTGTTCTGTGCGATAAAGAAAGAAAGCATTAGGCGTGATACCTATAACTTATTGAATAGTCAGTAGAACAACTGGATCTCGTCTTTCCAACTCATATCATTTATAGGTACAACGTTTTCTTTCTTTCTTTTCCTTTTCTCCCTCTTTTTTTCTGTTATGTGCTGCTTTGTTTCTTTCTTTCTGTTTACGCCAGTAAATATGCTAGAACCTACTTTTCCCCACCTTCTAACACTCTGTTCAATTTTGGCTTTGCAACCGACATGTTAATATGTTGTTGTCAAAACTAACTGAAATAACCTTAATCTATGTAGAACTTTATTTATTGTTAATGTACTAACTGGATCCAATATTATAGTAAAATGCTGAGAATTCCATTCTGTATCACAAGTACTGTTTTGGAATAAAGCTATTATTATCTTATCCATCTTATCTTATCTTCTAAACTAGGAGTCAGTGTAGTCCAGTCCTGTAACATCATCTTACATTTGGAGGGAGCGAATCGCATGCCAAACATTCGTAGATTGAAGTTCAAGGTGTTCAGAAGACTCTGCTCTATTTTGTCAGCGCCCTCGCCTAAAAGGACTATATCGTTTGAAAATTCTAAGTCAGGTGGGGTGACTAATTGGAAGTTAGAAAAAAGGCAGAAGTTGGTATGACGTAATAACTCCGAGAAATTAATGACTGATCAATATGGTTGTGTAGAATGGACAAGAACTAGTGGAAAGACGACAAAGTGTGTTTTTACAAAATCTGTATGAAAACGCAATGTTATTAATAAATAGTAATCGAGTGATAATAAAATATGGATGATGGGAATAATAATGATAATCAAATAATAATAACAAAAACAGTAGTAAAATTATATATATACTCGCCACAGTAGGGCGAGTCAATGGATATAGTGCTTTTGAATGCAGAAGGTCGGTTTCAGATGCCGAATAGCCAGTGATTCAGCTATGTACAGATGGCGTATGCGAAGTTCTTTCGTACGATAGTGAGGCATTCTGTGTAGCATTGTGGAATATTCAAGCGGGGGTGCTCGATGTACAGAGTTGATAAGGCGTTCAAGGATGGAGCTGGTATTATTCTTCTTTTCTCCTCTGGCTAACCAAGCTGGAAAAAGTCCCAGAATACATTTGTGGACTTGACGTTGCGTACCGTTAATATACTTTGCTCCACATACACATGTACGTATGCTGATAAATACACATTAAGGTGGCCAAAAGCGGTATCTTATCCTTAACGTTGGACTAGATCAAATGTCTGCTGGAGAATGTGATATGTAAGGTGACTGCTTGAAATGTCTTCTTCAGACATTTAGAAAGGTGGTTTCTAAGAATTTTTGCTTCAATGTCACATCTGAATTCCATGCTCATCATGTAGAGAGTTTTCTTAGGAACAGTTGTGATTTTTGGTGACGGAAGCTTTCCTTTCATGGATCTTGGTGTACACCCATGCTCTAATAGGGTTTTACGTGATAAATTTAATTCCTTCTCTCTCATGTCTTTATATTGCTAGTTTGCAATAAATTTTGATAATTTATGTGTTGATATATAAAGAAATACCTGATACTCATTTCCTTTTTTGTATGACCGATTGTTTATCTCTCTTAAGAATTCGTTTATTTCTAACCACTTGATGCATGATGGAATAAAAAATACAATCTTCGTTGGGGTGATTGCTAATCATGATAATCAGGTGTGCAGCATCTCATCACATGATAAGACATTTAGGCTATCGTATTTTTAGTGATAGTTAGTTACTAACGCCCGACCAGAACACCATTATTCATACAACATTTAGATAAGCAATAAAGGGGATAAACACTTGAAAATGAAAAGAATAACTCGAAAATTTTGTAGAAATAGTCAGGTTATTAGAAAAATGAAAAAAGTGTTTGACAAATATTACAGATATAATCGGTCAGAGTTGAAGACAAAATGAATATCTGGAGTCGGACCTCCAGCCTTTAGACTACTAACCACCCACCCAGTACTCATGCCTCTGAGCTATGAGAGCCAATTGCTAACCCCACTACCCTTTTCACTGCAATCATCATACATGATCTCCATTTGTCACACAACAATAATCGCTCAAGTTAATCTTCCCTCCTGGTAATCTAATTATTTTATTTATTTTTTATTTACAGCTTGATTCCACACCGTATTTTTGGTACAGGTATGGAATTTTCAGCATGTGATATCGGTAGCCCAAATATTGCAGGCCAACCATAGATATCAGGTGTGAGTCGGCAGGGGATCGAACCCCGGAGCATATGCATGGTCGGCGAGAGTCCTAACCACTGTTCCACCGAAGCACATACTGAATTAGACAAAAAACAGGTTGTTATTTGATGATAATGATGATGATAGCAGACTTTTTATCCACTTTTCAATTGTCATCCATTACACCAATAGCAGTAGTCTGCTAATCTCACCAACAAATATCACACAAAAGGTCAAACAGAATGGTACACTACTATCGAAAAAAAATATAAGTAGTTGGAAGGCAGTCAAAATGACCTGTGAATTTCACCAGTTGAATCCAATTAACGAATAACGAGTTCTTCGGGAATTTGATGAATTTCATTAAATCCTGCTTTATTAACCTTTGTTGCTTGTTTTGAATCCAAATAAGTTGAACTGTATACAGATTAGTCGATCCGAAAAGATGAATACCTTAAAAATCACGTGTATGAATGCATAGCTGCAGATCAAAATTAAGAGTTCTTAAGCACATTGTGGGGCTTGGTAATACACTTTGTCAGCTCATTGTGCTGTTGTGCTGAAAACTACATTTTACTTATCTTGGATGGATTGTTATCTTCGAGTAGAGAATTAGTCGATATTTTTAAGTATTTGTTTTGTGAGCTTAATGGTCTACAAAGCTAGCTCGCCTTGTAGTCAGAAGGTTCTGGATTCGAACCCTTGTGGTGGGTGCGTACTGTTGGAGAGTCCCAAACTAGGCTGATGAGACAGCTGTCCAGTACCCCCAGGTTTCCCAATGCTTCTCTAACTGATATCACCTCATGATGAAATCCTCCAACCAATTCGTCGATATGTTTCAAAGCCACTAAACAAGCTAAATTGAATAGTGCATGTAATATATGATGTATATACTGTTTACTCAGAAAAAAGACTGATAACGAATCTTTTTATCAATTCAAGCATAAGATATGAAGATGAGTTTCACAAATGACGAAATCTTCCAGAGAGTGTGTGTGTAGAAAACTATATCCAATGTAAACTTCCAGTTAACTTATTATTATTGTTCTAAAACGATTCACTGAGAAATCGTACCATTGAGTAAAGTGAAATAGACTTAACTATGAGGAATGTTGTATGTAACTGGTTTCTTGACATTTAATATGAATGCTTATCGGAAGTTGACAATTTAAACAAAATACATAATTTACGCTTAAATTCGTAGAAGCCTTTACTAAACTAAATGGTGTCCTTTATTAGCTTCACTCTATAGACTACGATTAGTAGATATTAAATAGTTTAAAATAAGAATCATATGAAACATTTGTAACGATAGCAGGATTAAGCACTTACTCCAGTCTGTACGAACAACATCTATGCTAATTGAAGCCAAAGTGGATAATTGATACTCGGACATTAAACCTGAAGCGTACAATTTTTTCCAATTTTCTTTAAGCGATGCATACTGTTGTGCTTTGACATCCAATAGATGAAAACGTTCTTGACCTGTTGTATCCGCTGGACAAACTGATAGTAAAAGCCGCCATGCAACTTTACGTAAACTGTGTTCTAACCCGTGTAAATATACATCTAGGCTAAAGAATAAAAATATTTAACTTAAAAATAATATATAACTCATGATATTTTTATTTCAAAGAAAACAATTGAATATCTGAGATGATTTAATGTTCGATTTATAGGGATAATTGTGTTCTTACAAATTACTGGATGGTCAAAGTCATCTTACATAATGAATGACTTTATAATATAAACGAAACAGAAAGTGAAGTCGGAGAGTAGGTAAATATAAATCATCAGATACTGGAAGCAACGGCAGAACTGTCCGCATAAACCAATTATAATTAGATCGAATTAACAGCCAGACTCATTGTGGATATGAGTAATACTTATTTTCCGAAACAGATAATACTACAGCTCAAATATCTGGAACCCAGTTGGTAGAGATAGGTTAGCACAAGACAGGTCAATTCTTTTTTGATTGTATGGAGGATTTCATCATGAGCTGAAATCAGTTAGAGAACCGCTGAAAATCCTGGGACTACTGGACAGCTGTCTCATCCTAGATTTGGACTCTTCACCAGTACGCACCCACCAGGGTTCGAACCCAAGACCTTCTGGTTACAAGGCAAGCGACCTCGTAGACCATTGAGTCACTGGGACCCGATCCAATGGTTCTTGAACTCTAACTTTCTAATTCTAAGTTAGAATTCAAGAACAATTGGATCGGGTCCCAGTGACTCAATGGTCTACGAGGTCGCTTGCCTTGTAACCAGAAGGTCTTGGGTTCGAACCCTGGTGGGTGCGTACTGGTGAAGAGTCCAAATCTAGGATGAGACAGCTGTCCAGTAGTCCCAGGATTTTCAGCGGTTCTCTAACTGATTTCAGCTCATGATGAAATCCTCCATGCAATCAGACAAAATCCATACAAAACCAATACTTGACAATTTTTTCTTTACTTATGCCTAGATTATCTCACCAAACTGACCTTCAGCATTTGTGCGAACAAGTGAAGTGGGCAACACACTTGATGCTAAGGTACAACATGGTGGAAATCAAACATTCATCCTGACCTGAAGACTACCTTGTTTTCGTGAAATCCAATGTTGTCGATGTTGACAATAAATCTTTGAAAAACTGTACATCACAGGAACTTCAGCAAATATTATGGAGACTTCTGTAGAAATATTTCCTATACAACAACTGAGACTAACCTAATTTTAAAAAAATACTGCTAATTAATCCATACTAATGACGACTTCATGTGCGCCGGTGGCACAGTGGTTAGGACTCTCACCGACCATGCACATGGTCCGGGGTTCGATCCCCTGCCAACTCACACCTGATATCTATGGTCGGCCAGCAAATTTTGGGCTACCGATATCACATGCTGAAAATTCCATACTTGTACCAAAAAATACGGTTTGCAATCAACCTGTAATCTAAAACAAAATAATAAACACTGCTATAGAAACTTCAAGCCACTAGCTTGAAGCCCTATGTTCCACTGGGGAACGTGAAGGATAAATAAAATGACGACTTCATAAAAATATAGTCAACAACCTTTAAGATTTTATCTGTCGCCAATTTGAGGTGTACCATAATTGTAACAAACTTATCGCATGGTAGTTTCCATACAATCCCGTTACAACTAGCCTGATTAATTATATGTTAATGTGTGCAACCGATTTACCGTTCTACCTAACCTACCGTGTAATTCTTTTTCAATTACGTCAGCAACAGTAATGTGAATCATCATTCTTGCTTTGAAGTTACCTCTGCTTTGTTGATGTTAATTGGTTTTCAGCATATTCGCCTTCACACAAAAAGATTTGGCAAGTGTAGATACGCAATCAGATTGCTTAGTTACATGACACTTTTACGTAAACTCTGTCTTTTTTTAATAACTGTTACTACGGTTAAATATAGCTAATTTTTTAATAATATTTTAATTACGTGAGACAAAACAACAACGTATTTATGAGAAGTTTTGATAAGTCAGGCAGTCCACGGGTTATGCAAAGATTACAATCCATTATATTCTTTCTGTTATCTAAATTCTGTGATGCACCCGATTAATTAATAATGCCACCATCACCATTAAAAACTGGTTAGCACTCACGAGGTGTGCAACATAGATGGCAATAAAATAGAAACCAAGTTGGAAATTAAATATCTTGGTGTCATTCTATCTGCTGATCTTTCCTGGTCGTCTCATATCTTGATGATTTCTAAGAAAATATTCCGTCTTACATTCTACATCAAGAAGTAAAGATATTCTGGTAGGACCCAACCCTTACTCTTACGATTCGTTAACTCTTGCATCTTGCCTATCATTCTCTATTGTTCCCCCTTAGTTTTTCCTAGGCTGGCTACTGAAGAAAGACTATACCTTATTACGCAGGATGTTAAAGGTTGTCAGCAGGGTAAGCAACGTGCCACTTAACCAGCTTATTAATATTCTGGTTGACAGGTACTTGGACTCATGTGAAAAATAGTCTAAATCCATTCTGTCTAACTCACACCACCCTCTTCATTCACAACTCTCCCCTTGTATCTCATCAGGCAGAACCAGAAGCCTATATAGAATACTATATGCTCGTACTAGTAAGTACAAAAATTCAACCATACCCTACTTAGCTCGTGTTCTGTGCGATAAAGAAAGAAAGCATTAGGCGTGATACCTATAACTTATTGAATAGTCAGTAGAACAACTGGATCTCGTCTTTCCAACTCATATCATTTATAGGTACAACGTTTTCTTTCTTTCTTTTCCTTTTCTCCCTCTTTTTTTCTGTTATGTGCTGCTTTGTTTCTTTCTTTCTGTTTACGCCAGTAAATATGCTACCATATACTTTTCTAACACCTTCAAACACCGATCAATTTTTGGCTTTGCTACCGACATGTTAATATGTTGTTGTCAAAACTAACTGAGATTACCCGTAATCTATGTAGAATTTTATTTTATTGTTAATTTACTAACTGGATGCAATACTGTAGTAAGATGCTGAGAATTTCATTCTGTATCGTAAGTACTGTTTTTGAATAAAGCAAATTATTATTATTATTATTATTATTATTATTATTATTAAACGTGGATTATAGCCGTGTGATATGATCAAACGACGATCATTAATGTTGGATTTCTATTGAGACTAATAACGTTTGAATCCTCTGTTGCTCTTTTCAACAGCATAGGAACACACTTAATTAATTCGACCTATGTATATATACTAACACAAGTGTAAATCATCTTGTAGAAAATATATGGAGGAAGAGAGTTACCTGAATTTCATTTTTTAAATTCAGCTGATAGCGAAGAAATTGTACATGAGACAAGAAAAAAAGGAATGAGACGTAGAAGATTTACTCCATAGACTTTGAGCTAGGCGCTAGATGATTTGATTGACCTTAAACAATAGTTTGACAAATCCAGTCTCCCTTTTATTACTGTAGCCTTCTTAAGGACAGCATGGTTAGTTTTCAGGATACTCATTATCCTATATATGTCCAAACCAAGTTCACTTTTAATAGTTTGAAAAAATTTGGGCATTGTGTATATGATATTCATTATAATAAAGGTTTTTGTATTTCCCATTGAATGAAAAACAAAACGATATTACTGTTTTTATTGACGCTATAGAATCAGGCTACAAAATTGATTTCGAAAATATTGAAATAATCTAGAAAAACTTCAGAAATCACAAAGAACGTCTAATATCATCAGAAGCACTCCACATCAAGTGGAATCCAAATTGTCTGAATAGGAATGATGGACTAAAACAGAATCTGACCTGGTTACAACACCTCCCACCCTGCCCCATGAAGTGACAGAATCAACACAAATGTGATAAGCAAGTCCACTATGTAAACACACACTGCTTTGATAAATTCACACGCTGATCAAATCCAACGATCTACACTTGATTTTGTTATCTTTACCAATTGACCAACTTGACAACGAAAAATGACCCCAAACTGACGAACGATGATCAAGTTAGTAAACTTTGTTTTGATATCATAACAGATGTACTATTACCTTTGTTATTTGGTTTAGTGATGTTTATTGTTATTTTGACCTTCAATATGTCCCTTTAACTTGACCTAAGTCTATTTTCTCACCCCTTAACTCTTTATTATATATATGCTGAGATTTTTTAAATTCCAGTTTAATAATACTTTGAAAAAGCTGTTAGTAGAATTAAATAGCGAAACGTCAGTAAACACAACAATATCGTTTTGTTTTTCATTCATTGGAAAACACAAAAGCCTTTATTATAATGAATATACATTATCCGTTAAAAAAAATAAAGCTGGTGGATTAATCACATTAGTCGCAAATGTTGTGGATAGAATGCAGTAAATTTAAGCTTTGCCAGTCCTGAACTACCTGACACATTCAAAAATATAATTAGTTAATAATACACGCTTTCGTCCCACATGATTAAAATAAAATACTGTCAATCAATTATGCTAGTTGTAAAGTAAGTGTGTTGGGAAAATACGACGTGATATCATTAATAATATTATTTAACTGGTTAATTCTCTGAACAGTTTCTTGGTCAACATTGAGTTATTATTCTTAGGTAAATCCATAAGTAAAAGGTTTATCCATTTAATGGACGACGTCCAACTTCAACGTCACCTTCAAGAATATTAATTTAGCCATCAACAGAAATGACATATAATCACTCATAGCAATACGGACACCATTTTGACTGAATCAATGTAAAAATTTTAAAGAATGAAAATACTGAAAATGCTAGAGAGTACCCTAGAAACCACCTGGTACTCAAATCAATCTACACTCAACAGGTGTGTTGTCACATATCAAAGTTATCAATCGGCTAAGATAGAAATCATACGGTTAAAGAGTTGAATACCGGAGTCAATGAAACGATCATACTAATACGAATCAATGCAAGAATAACAAAAAAATTTCTGAAGACAAACAGCCATAGTTACGCTCATTAACAGGAAAAAACAGTAATGTCGTGTATGAAGGATTCCAAAAAAAAGAACTCACTTCGCAATGGAGTTAGAGCTGTAGATGTTGTCTTAGAAAGACAGTGAAAGATGCACAATAAAACTGCTAAGTAGGGGAGAAGATGGGTCACTTAAGAGAAGTGTGTATAGAAAAAGTACATTCACAAGACAATACACACACTTCCGTAGTTACGTGCCCATTAAATATATGAGAAATGTTGTTAAAGCTATTACGAGCAGCGCAAGAAAGATATGTACGGATGACTACTTACAAAAGAAATTTGAATATATTCACGATTCCTTGATGGAGACGGGCTATCCGAGTAGTCTCATAAAGAAAAATATGAAAACATCAGAGAAAAAAACCTGAGACTCTGACTGCACGTAAGAAACCTCTATTTATTAAGTTACAATTTAATGGTGACTTATCAAATGCGATTTTGTTCCAAAGACTTTCTATGAGTATACGGAGAACGTTTTACGCAGCACATCTGTGTTTGTCATTCTCTAGCCGACGAATGATTGGGACGCAAACGAAGGATAAGCGAGAGAGTTTCTGCCACATCTGTGTGGATTTATCAATTCAACTGCACCAGCGGTGACAGTTATGTTGAGCGTACTACTAGACAGCCTAACCAACATGTTAGTGAACATCTCCCATCGTGGTTTGGTAAAGGACAGATAAAAACAATGCGTAGCTCAATTTTGTCACATCTAATTGATAGGGGTCATGTAGTCGAGAAAACGAGAGCCTTCGAAGTAATTCATCGTATCCCACAGAATCTTTCAAATAGACTCCGTATTCATCTACTGCATACAGCTGAGGCGATAGGCATTCGAACTATTAAATCTAAACTATGCAGACAGCCATAGTACAGTCATTATCTCTCCCTTGGCCTATTAAGACATAACCAACTGAAGACTTCGACACCATCCCTTGTTTATATTTACAACTCCTTTCTTATCATCCCTTAATCTTATCACATCTTCATTACATACGTGTCTCACTTACTTCCCTTACAATCAGTCTAGCATTACGTAATCGGTTTATTTGTTTTTGCTAGCCTTTATCGACTACTTCCACCTGAACAATTGTTTGTTTAATCATGCTGTTTTTCATTATTCGTGTTATCACAGATTGCCTCACTTTTTCATCATCATCATTATTGATAAAACCATTATTATTATCATCACTATTTGAACAAAGCAAGAACTACAGTTTTAGCAGAATAAAAGGTACCATCTTTTATTTCGTTGCCTTCTCGTCAGCTGCTTACATGGCAAAGACATTATTAAATATATCTACAACAACAATTTTAACATACTTGTACAGAGTTCAGTTTAAACAAACTCTGTGCAAGCATGTTAAAATTGTTGTTGTAGATATATTTAATAATGTCTTTGCCATGTAAGCAGCTGACGAGAAGGCAACGAAATAAAAGATGGTACCTTTTATTCTGCTAAAACTGTAGTTCTTGCTTTGTTCAAATTCATTAAGGGGAATAAATGTATGAAATTATCACTATTATTATTGCTACTATTATGACTAATTGCACAATTTATATGCACCATCTTATTATCCTATAGACAAAACACCATGATTGGTTTATATTTGAATTTTTACTTGTAAACTTATATATATTAGAGTTAAGCCTGATGAGATCTAATTGAAGCCACAATATTGTTCGCTTAAATGTGTTGTTCTAAATCTTTCTTATCAATTCTGAATGATAATCGCCATTCTTCTATTAATCACTTTAAAAGACTGAATGAAAGCAGTCTTCATCTCAGAAAGCTTTATATAGTATTGAACTGTGAAAAGCCTTCATTGAAAGTGTTAGCAAAAGGAGTATAACACTTAAGAGACATTAAAAGATTTATAGCTTACTAAAATTGATTTAAATAAATAATGCGTCCATTTTCATCCATGTATTGTCGCATTTGTATATCTGATATAGGAGATTGTACTGAGTCGATCAGACCATCACCATCAAAACTAAATCCTATAAAAAGTACCAAGAACATTAAAAATAATAGAACTAGTGAACTCCGGAATTATTTTTATTATCATTAAAAAATAGACGAATACAAAGATTTACTGTTGAACTGAATGTAGTTAGAACACCTTGTTTCGAGGTGATAAAGTGAACGTATGGTTAATCTCAGCTGTTAAGGTAAGGAGGGGAAATCAATCGACCAGGCTGTGAAGCTACATCGACTGAAATGGTTAGGACATGTGTTACGCAAGCCTAGTCATCGCCTTCCTCGACAATGGGCAATGTTAGCCGACATAGGTTCAGGTTGGAAAAGAACTGCTGGTGGTCAAACCAAAATATGGCCTCATCAGTCAATGAAATCTACAACAGTTAGTTTAAGTCACGTAGGAAGATTTAGACTTCCTGGTTGGAGTCCTCAAAACGGTAGAAACTAATGGTTGGAAACAATTGGTGATATGGCTCAAAATCGTTCTCAATGGCTGGCGCAGATGCATCCACTCCTTGTGACTTATAATACCCAATAAAACTATACTCCTCTTCGATATTACTGTTCCTTTTGCCTTATATCTCTGTTTTCTGTTTCTATTTTGCATTTCTTTTTACTTTCTTCTCTTGCTTCGTGTGCTACATGGAGTGTGGTGACTCGAACTGCTGCACACTGGTGCAAATTTCTATATTGAAACCAGCCAGCCAGTTAAACTACACTTGTTATTTTAATCATATACAGGAAATAAATTCTAGCATAGGTATAAAATCAGTTCAAGCACACTACATCCAACGTTTGTCATTTAAAACACTAAGAGGCAATCAATAGTGAACCTAGATTTCATGTTTGTTCTCATTCACATGGAAAGTACACCTTCAAGAATAAAGAAGCTTATGTTTCTTGAGACTCTTGAGATAATGTCAATCTCGAGTTATGATGGACCCGTTTATCACATGCACACAAATTGTAACCCAAGTTCTTAGTATCAACTAAGGTTTATTGACAGCTAAAAGAGTTTTCTTAAATGACTTAATAAATAAAAAAATACAAAAAAACATTAGAAGCTTAAACTTTCAACTAGTGTAAATAATCACAAGCATTAAAAAAATTCGAAAGAAGCAATTATCAGTCTAAATGTATATCAAATTGTGTTGAAACTGTTCTGCAATCTCTTGAATCTTTTCTGCTTTGTAGTTTAAAGCATTGAAATCTGTAGTCGAATGAAGTCCGTCAAACATATAGACTTATTGCAGTTATTAAAACTCATGAAACATTTCTTTAAACATTCCATCCTATACACAGATGCCCTCTAGATATACAGCCCATATTCCTCATAACCCCCTTGTCTTCTATCCAAACTACTTCTAAAGACATTCGAATACATCCTTACTAACAGTGGCAGGAGCCTGTACCTGCACTCACTCTTGCGGGTGAACCGCTTGAAGTTGTTGATAAGTTTGTGTATCTGGGTAGTTGTGAGTGCTGGTGGAGGGGTGGCGAATGAGATTTCCAACCGTACAATGAAGGCTAGGGTGGCATACATCAACTTGAGCCACTTATGGCACCATCGCGACATTAGCCTGGCTGTCAAAGGTGGGGTATACAATGCCTCCGTGCGGGCTGCCTTGCTTTACGCCGGTGAAACCTGGCCTCCCCAAGCTGAGGATGTGCGACGACTCTGCATGTTCGATCATCGCTGTCTCCATAGGACTGCTTGCGTTCGATGGTTTAATCGCGTGAGTAATTCCGAGGTTCAGCGGCGTGTGTTTGAACATAGTGGAGATCACCATTCATTGAGTGTCATCATCTGGAAACACCGGCTCTGGTGGCTTGGACATGTGCTGCGAATGTCATCTCAGAGGCTTCCGTACAGGTCTCTGTTCGCTAGCCCTGGGATGGGATGGAAAGGGCGGAAGGGTGGTCAGTCGATGATGTGGCGTCGTGGGATGAAGGATGTTTGTGCTAGATTAGCATCGGTTGGTGCGTCACGACTCCCTGGTTGGGGTCCGAGAGATAGTTCAAATCGATGTCTCGAAAGGTTGTTGGATATGGCCAAGAATCGTAATCAATGGCAAACACGTGTTGCAATTTCCTTCTTTCTTCCCTTCCCGATGAAAGTTGACGACTACCGTTTGAACTTGTTAAGTATGACTGTTTTCCTTCAAGATGAAGTACTTTATCCGTTCTCTGCTTATATTTTTTTTTTACTTTTGATCTATGTTGTTTTATTATTACTGTGTGGTGCATCTCTTTTGATGCCATATTGTACCAAGTTTTTTCTGCGTTTAAATAAATAGATAAACAGTGAGTTTGAACTTATTCGCCTGAGACAGGTGTTTTATGTTATCACTTTATGACCCGCACTCATTGTGTCAGGGCTGATGACAGTCGTCAGTTGCCCAGGATGAAATAGCTGGAGTGGAGTTTGAACCTGACAAGCATTGACTAAAAGCCAGATGCTGAAGACAATGGACCAAGTCTTCATATTATTATTATTATTATTTAATTTTAAGACTGCATATTGTTTAAAAGTTACCTTTCAAATTAATTAAGTAAACGGTTTCACATTTTAGAAAATTAACTTTAGGCTAAATTCATACCGCTTTATAGTAAAGTGTTTAAATGAAGTGATACAATATAAAAATAAATTTCTGTTGAGATTTTAATTTCTAGTTATTACTGAATTTATCACTTAAGGTGTCAAATCACTCACTGGACACTTTTGCAACGACTAGTAAATTTAAAGGTATTAGCTACAACAAACAGAATTCAATGCCAGCTAGGAAATATTACCCAGAGTATTCTACGTATAATTTAAAGATAACCTTACTTTTGTATGTTACTGATACCAATTAACGAAATATTACAAGTTCATTAGACTGAAGTTTTTAATCTCAAGTATATCAACTCCACTGATGGACGTCGTCTTAAGGAAATTTAAGCAGTTTGCCCTCACTCACGCAAATAAACTGATGTAATAAAAATTAATATTTAATATATATATATATATATTATAGCTTGATTCCACATTGTATTTTTGATACAGGTATGGAAGATATGCAAGTGAAAAGAAACAAGTTGGCAGAAGAAGCATCAAAGATAGGACTTCCTTCAGGTGAACATAGATAAAACAGAAGTGATGAAGATTCCTGGCCAACACCAACACCAACAGCAACAACAACAGACAACAATCAGCCAGAATAAATGGGAGGAACCTGAAAGAAACAACCTCCTTCACCTACCCAACTACCTGGGAAGCATCATTTCAACTACAGGCCGACGGAACTGACGAGGATATCAAAGCCAGAATCGGAAAAGCAAGACAGGCTTTCATTACTCTCAAGTGTGTGTGGAGGTCAACAGCACTCAGCATCAAAAATAAGATCCGGATTTTCAACTACAATGTAAAGTCAGTGCCACTTACTATACGGATCAGAGACTTGACGAGTCATAAGGAGCATCTCCAACAAACTTCAGACCTTCATTAACAGCTGTCTTCGCTCAATACAACTCAAGATCAGATGGCCGGCCAGAAAAGATCAGCAACAGGGATCTCTGGGAGCGAACCAACACAGCAGGAACCGACTGTGCAACAAATAGGCAGGAAGAAATGGAGATGGATTGGCTGGCCATACTCTGAGGAAACCATCAAGTTACATCACTAGACAAGCCCTCGAGTGGCACCCGAAAGGGAAGCGGCGAGTCGGTCGTCAGTGCAAGGGTGACTTGGAGTAGGTCATGTGAGGAGGAGATGAAAGCATGTGGACAGACTTGGAGCGGGGTGAAAAAGTTGGCAGAAAACAGAAGGCAATGGAGGTGCGCAGCTGAAGCCCTATGTACCTCTAGGAACTAAAGGATACAATGATATAATAATAATAATAATAATAATAATAATAATATGGAATTTTCAAAATGTGATATCGGTAGCCCAAATTTTGCAGGCCGACCATAGATATCAGGTGTTCGTCGGCGGGGGCTCGAATCCCGGACCATGTGCATGGTCAGCGAAAGTCCTAACCGCTGTGCCACCGACGTGTATACATATGCTCCCATAAATAATCTGGTACCATCGAGGATAGATTTACCTCGGTCTCTTACTAAAAATGTTCTTCTCAAGTGGCCACGCTTCCAAAGCTTCTTGTTAGGTAAGTTCTGTCCACTGCATTCTCGCAACAGGGACGCTCCTGACAAAATGTAAAAAGCGAATTTGAACATCTGGCGCTTACAACCAGACTGGTGGACATTCGGGTCTACTTGGGGGAGTTGTAAAACACAGATACCAAATTTATGATGTATGTGGGGTCCGGAATTCGAGACGAACGAATGGTGCATGAACCTGTTTTGGTCTAGACGTCTCGGCTGTATCCTAACATTCGAACAAGCTGTAGGACTTTGTGCGACGCATCATTCGGTGCTCATAATGTACTAAGTTTGTTTTAATAATTGTATATATATATATATATATATATATATATATATACTCAATGAATATAAGGTGTAAATATATATACACAAAAGTATTTACCAATAGCCTTGCGAACATTTGCAACAGTTTTTTCTAAACGTTGAGTTAATTGTGAAAAAAGTGAGGATCCTTTTGAATCTTGATGTTTTAAATCATTTTTTGTATCACTTGGAGGTTTACGTCTTTTGGAATTCGATTGGACACTATTTGGAATAACAATATCCCAATCTTGAGGATCTGATTTTAAAAAATACAAAACAGTAGTGAGAAGGAGAAACATTAGAAAGGTAATGCAGTAGAACACATTACAGCAATTAAAATACGCACCAGTATAAATAAACATTTGAGCCGCTTTTATTACGGTCCGATTTGTAAAGAGAAGAAATCATGATTAACTGTCATGTCTAATTATCTTCAAAGTTGAAGGAATTTTCCAAATCAAATTTGTAATCTAATCAATGATTTATGTGAGTTAGTGTATATCTAAGTGCATTACAGTTGCCATTAATTGGTTATGAGTCTTCAGTTAAGTGCGGTTTAATTAGGATTCAAGCACTCCTATAAATGTATCATTAGAAAGTCAACTAGCAATCCATACTTTAAATCTACCGATAAACACTGGAGAGTTGAAGATTTGATACATCATGACTTAAATGTTTAAAATCGCTTACACCTTCCCAGAGTCTAAGCCCTGATGGTATACCTGCCATTGTCCCAAGGAAATGTGCTGATATTTTAAGTAACCCACTTACTAACATTTTCAATACTTCTTTTTTTAATAATGTTGTACCTTCTCTGTGGAAAGATATTAAAATCATCCCTGGTTCTGGAAATAGTGTAAAGTTTAGGCCTATTGCTATCGCCTCGCCTTTTTTGAAACTAATGGAGAAATTATTGTTACTAAAACTTGCTCCCTCCCTAAGCAGTTTGCTTACAAACAGGGTAGAAGTACTTTAGACGTTGCTGCTGTGTTTTATCACAACATTGTATCCTCCTTAGACAAAGGGGCCAAGTATGTCCGTTGTACGTTCCTTGATTATACATCTGATTTCGACTCTGTACCCAAAGGCGTTTTGTTAAACAAGCTTAGCCTTACACAAACTGAGTCCTGGGCTATCAACTGGCTGAACTCTCACTTCTCTAATAGAATGCAGTACACGGTATATAATGTTGTATCTTCCTCTCCTTTGCTTACTGAAGCTGGAGTTCCTCAGGGTGCTGTTCTCTCTCCATTTCTCTTTTCCTTCTTCTTACATGACTTACCTCTTTCAGACGAAATCAACTTCGTCAAATATGCAGATGACCTGACTGTTTCGCTTCCCGTTAAGTCCCAGTCAGACTGTTTCAAATTAAATAGCTTCCTGTCAGACATCAATCAGTGGTCTAAACTAAATGGCCTCATGCTGAATCCCTCAAAATGTCAGACTACTTACTTCTCCTTTAGGCATAAACAAAATCTACAAACACTAGTAAGCACTCATGAAGCCTGTAGCATTGAGGGGACTAAAATTGAAACTAAGTCTAATGCAAGATACGTCAGACTAGTTCTATCTTCCAACCTTACATGGTCATCTCATATCCTAACTATTTTCAAGAGTGTTCCGTCTACCCTACTACATTAGGAACCTAGACTATCTGGAATCATCCAATCTCTACTTTCACAATTTGTCAACTCTCGTATCTTACCTATTCTACTTTACTGCTCCCCATTAATCTTTCCTGGGTTACTGAAAAAGGACTATACCATCCTGAGAAGGATGTTGAAGGTAGGTAGTAGAACTAGTGGTATAAAACTCAGTTAGCTCGTCACTACATTAGTAGAAAGGTATCTGAATACATGCGAAAATGGTCTAAAACCATACTCTCCGACCCTCAACACCCCCTCTATTCCCAATTCTCTCCTTGTATTTTATCAGGTAGAACCAGAAATCAGTATAAAATAATATATGCTCGTACAACCAAGAACTCAACGATACCATATTTGGCCCCTGTTCTAAGTGACAGAGACAATGTTAAGCGCGAAACCTATGGCTTGCTTTGTTGTTAATACCATAATTTTGGCTCTTTTATTTTTCTCACTTATTTGTATTCTATAGTGAGCACCTTCTTAAACATACTTAGCTACCTAAATTATTAACATTGGCTTACTTTTTTGTACTTAATTCTATTCCTTCTTTTGTGTATCTACTGGTTCCGACTATATTATCACTATGAGTATTACAAAATTGTCCTGTCATTAACCACCATGTAATATTAGTTTTGTGACTGTTTTTTTGTTCGGCAATATTAAAACTGACAACCTTGGTTGTGAACGCCGTTATCACCATCTTAAAATGTTTGTATCATGCATGATTACTCAAACTACCACTACAAACACCGCATTAGAGCTGACAATAAAAAAACACAACCTGAAATGTTTATTTTATGATTGTTTAGTGGTGTTCAATCAAATTAACTGATCATCTTGGCTATAAACATTCTTAAGAACATCTCATAACTTCTTGTATGAATATAGCTGTTACTGTTCGCCACGCATACACATATCATAGGTTCCACCACCCAATACTGAGATATTATTTACCATTGTTGTTTATTTTCCTTTCTGCTTCTTGGTTTTTTTTGTTGTTGTTTTTATATTTATTTTTTGAAATACTCCCTTTAAATGTGCGATGAAACTAGATGCAATATTGTAGATATGTGCTGAAAATTCCACACTGTACCACTAGTACTGTTTCTGGAACAAAGCAAATTATTATTATTACTATAAAAAGTAAACACTTCTAGCACTAGTCAGATCTATGTTTAGAATCTTCCTTTTAACTCTATGGTGCGTTCCAACGCCTGAATATATATATATATATATATCAGCCTATAAAGCAGCCTAATGATACTTGGTTCACAAAATAATCAATAAACCATAAAAGATACCTAAATTAATGAATGTCAAAAAAATAGTTATATTACCACTGCTAGTGGTTGCTACAATAATAGTAATAAAGAACCACATACATACGTCAACTTATTCAGATAAATATACAAATCATATAGCATGAATCAAAGTTAGATAGTCATGTGACTAATTAGAATAAGAAATAACTAATAACATCACATCATTAAATTCTAATGCTTATAAGGTATATGTATATATGTTGCTTTATCCTGTAATTTTATGAGGGTATTTCTGTGAAAGTACACTAAAAACCAAGTGTGATTGAACAATCTTCATGGGTTACAGAGTTCTACTCTTATAGTATCAATAAAAATTTAAGTATTTCTTCCACTTGGAACTATTGTTGATAAAAGAAAACTTTATAACCAAAGAAAACAAATTTAATACATTACCTTGGGGACAACACCAGCGAGATACTAACACAGCGCTTTAGAAAGGCGGTAAAAAAGAAGCATTCCCTGCTGCAGAATGACGTTTGTATCTTTAAAACAACTCCTCTTCTGCATTCGGGACTAAAAGACAAACTGCTTAGTTTCGCCTTTTCCATGTGTATCTACTAATTTAACTGCTCCTGTGGAGCCAGTTAGTTACATAGGCCGTACAGTAAAATTAGGCGTGCTTCTCGTCAGATTTCCGAACATCACCCTGCGTGGTTAAGTAAGGGACAAACAAAATCCATTCCCGGCGCTATTCTGTCTCATCTTGTGGATACAGAACACAAGATTGACGTTAACCATACTTTCAGGATCATCTACCGCATACCTCCGAATTTCAATTTCGCCTTAGGAGTTCGACTACTAAATATTCCTGAGGCTCGCCGTTGGGATCCATATTAACAAGCCTAATTTGTGCATCCAAAAGAAGTTGGTTCAGACATTATCATTACCTTGGACATCTAGGTTTGAATGATCATGAATTTTCGTGGAATTTTCCTAATTTTAGTTGGTATTCTATTTGCTACTATGTCTTTATTATTATTATAATTTGAGCATCTCTAATGAACTGTAATTCCATTGATCTTACTTTACAAACCAATATCATTTTAAAAAAATACTAATATTGTTATTGACTACTATTCTAGAATATTCTATGTATATAAACATATGGATATATAATTGTAGAGCCAGAAGAGGAATTTATCGAAAAGGATATTCATCGCTCAGTTATTTTGTGTTTTATAAATTTAAATCTGTCAACATTGTCATGGTGTAACAACAGAAGACAAGGGACAGGAAACAGAACGTTTATTTAGGAAATCAACACATGACCAAATATTGGGGACATACACAGTGACGTAAATAACTATCTACTAATTTCGGCTAACAGCCAGCTCTCACCACACTCGTCCCCCCCCCCCCCGTCAAAGACTTGAAACTGAAGTTGGTTCGATCTTCTTGGTTCTAAGGGCTTCGTTCGTTCGTCTGGTTGTCTGGAATCTCGACGCTCGCTGATTTTCACCTGTTTCTCTTTGTTCACCATTGCGATTGTGTCTGCGTAACCCTATCTCAAAGTGACTAAACGTGGTCCTTCCCACTTTGGAAACTGTCTGCCTGACCCTGTCGCACATTAGTCGGTATTTCGCCACACACTTTCATATGCTGCTTTCTCCCGACCTCCCGGCAGCGTCCCAAGTAACAGCCTCTTCGCTGACAGATCTTGAACGCCATTCAACTGCGCCGAAGCCTCGAAGTCCTGCCCGAAGATCCAAATGTCTCTATCAAAAACTGCAGGGCATAGGCTTTCCATTTGTCGGTAGGCAGTGACACCAAATGTAACATCAGAAGACAATGGACAGGAAACAGATCGTTTATTTAGGAAATCAACACATGACCAAATATTGGGGACATACACATTGACATAAATAACTATCTACTAATTTCGGCTAACAGCCAGCTCTCACCACAATGGCACTCATTACTTCATTTCTTCAGTACTTTAAAAAAGACTGGAAACATCTATTAAGTCATGAAGAAAATGAAAGACAATTCAGAGAAGAAAGAAGAATTTGATGCATTTCCTATCCTTAAGGATAAGAAGGAAATGCACCAGTGATACAATGAATGATGAATTAGATAGACTCTGACAAGTCCTCATTAAAAATGGATATCCTGCAAGATTCATAGAGAAGAATGTGGAAATAAAGCAGAATCCGAAAAGAATCCAAATGGCACCGAAAAATCTACTGTTTTTGAATTTTGGATTTAAAGATGATACCACAGCTGAGATTCTGAAGAACCACCTTTCCAGACTGTTGAGTAAAGCTTTCTATTCGGTTGATCGATGAATGCACGAAGGACACACTACAGATATGAGGGACTTCTATGTGTTCATGAATTCAATCGCTCTTGTGGATCTAGTTATATTGGTTGCATATTATCCAACATGGCAAGAGAACAATGTAAGAGGCAATTACTAGTTCTATGGTCGAGCATTTGATGAACTCAGTAAACACAGTTCCACCAGAGTCATCTTTTAAGATTATCTACAAGGTGAGACCGAATGATATAAATAGTGTCAGATTTCAGCATTTGTGTATGACGGAGGCGCTGGCGATTTGTCAATATAACCACGAAAAAGTTTTGTTCACTCTTTTATTCTATTATAGTCCTAATATCTTCCCTAATCGTTCGCTTTTATTTTTCGTAATTCATTCGCTATTATCACTCTTAAATGTTCTCTTTGTACACTTTTTTTTCGTCTTCTTCATATTTGTCAAGTGGACACTCAACTGCCTCACTTCTCATTGAATAACAACTGTAAGTATATAATTATGAATACGATTTCACAGTCTCTGAAGGTGATTTCACCGATAAAGAAATTTTTCTTCGTTGAATTGTTTTTTGCTTCACAAAATTCTAAAAGATGTAGTAACATTAACCTAATTAAATATTTTTTTATTAAGACGGTTATCCACTATGTGTTCATCATCAAAGCGGCAGTTCGCCATTTAACTACTTTAAGTATTCACGTAAAGTGGCAAACAGTTAAACGGTGATTGACGTTTAGGGTTTCTTTTTGTTTACAACTAAAAGTAGTCCCGTCCAAACAAAAATAAATTGCACAGTTAATGTGAAGAACTCTTCAAGCCGTTATAAAAAAATAGAACTTGTGCTGTGTGATAGAGTATAATTGCATTATGGGTAAAATTCTATTTTGATAAAGTCTCACAGTGTTATACAGTAATATTTACTGATAACTACGTTTCGAGAACAATTTATTGCCGCTCATAATCATATCAAGCCAATACTCACACAACTCTCCAACTTCGTTTATATAATCCCATTTATTTTCCATCGCTTGACATGATTGGTAGTAGTATTTTTCCACATTTCCGGTAGGAGTGATGAGTCATTCCTATTGCACGTGTTGGGTGTAGACTCGATGAACCAGGATTCAGTAATCAATCTCTCTCTCCACCTACCTATATTACTTCTGAGAATTTTAATCCTCTCTCCCTCTCCCCCCATTGTGTGGTTATGTGTTAATACATGCAGTGCAATTGCTGAGCTTTTTTCTAAAACAAAATTTATTGGGAAACCAATAATGGTAACATATATAAGAAAGAATATAAGTCATCTACTGTTATACCATATAAGGAGGGGACATCTGAAACCCGACGTAGGATTCTCGATAAAGCAGGAGTTGGAGTGGCATTCAAACCTACAAACTCACTCAGGTAGGACAAGATCTGTAGGCTAAAGGACCCGGTGGATCCAATTAAACAAAATAATACAATTTACAACCTACCTTGCAATGACTGTGAGGTCAACTACATAGGTCAAACGGGCAGATCGGGAGTAGTCCGATTATCAGAACATAAGAATTTAGCTAGGGTTAGAATGATTCAACCCGCAAAGATAAGTAATTTAGAAATCTTAGCAATCGCACCTGTCTGTCTGTCTATTTTCGACATAGAACTTTGCACAAATGTGCGACAGTTCAAGTCGCCACATTCCGTGTAGCACGCGAAGCAAGAGAAGAAAGTACAAGAAAAGCATAATAGAAACAGTGAGCAGAGGTGTGAGACAAAGGAGTAATAAAGAAAAACAAAACAGTTTCATTGAGAATCATAAGTCACAAGGAGTGGATGCATCTGCGATAGCCATTGAGAACGATTTTGAGCCATTTCACCAATTGTTTCCAACCATCGATTTTTACCGTCCCGAGGACCTCAGCCTGGAAGTCTACACCTTCCTACGTGGCTTAGACCGACTGTTGTGGATTTCATTGACTGATGCCAAGTTTTTGTTTGACCGCCGCTGGCTTTTTTCCAGCCTGACCCTATATCCGCTAACATTGCTCGTCGAGGGAGGCGATGGCTTGGCATACGTAACACATGTCCTAACCATCTCAGTCTTTGTAACTTCACGACTTCGTCGATTGATTTCCCCTCCTTACCTAGAACTCGACGCCTAACTTCAATGTTGCTCACCTTATTGTGCCACTTTACACGGGAAATAGAGCGCGGGCACCTATGATCAAAGACAGCTAGTCTTTTCATGTCTTCCACTCTCAGTGGCCAGGTCTCACAGCCAGCCATAAAGGAGGACGGAGCGGACTTATGAGCAGTACACCCGCCCTTTGGTCGATAGTCGAACATCTCGTCTACGCCAGAGTCGGCGTAAACTAACAAATGCGAAACGAGCCCCTTGTATTCGTGCTGAGATTTCGTCAGAGATCAGCCCGTTGGCACTGGCTGATGGTACTTCCCAAATAAGTGAAGCGGTCAACGTGCTCTATCACTTCACTTCCTATTTTTAAACTAGGCGTCGATGTAGTCCAGTCCTGTAACATCATCTTGCATTTGGCGGGAGCGAATCGCACCGCATGTATTAACACATAACCACACAATGGGGGGAGAGGGAGAGAGGATTAAAATTCTCAGAAGTAATATAGGTAGGTGGAGAGAGAGATTGATTACTGAATCCTGGTTCATCGAGTCTACACCCAACACGTGCAATAGGAATGACTCATCACTCCTACCGGAAATGTGGAAAAATACTACTACCAATCATGTCAAGCGATGGAAAATAAATGGGATTATATAAACGAAGTTGGAGAGTTGTGTGAGTATTGGCTTGATATGATTATGAGCGGCAATAAATTGTTCTCGAAACGTAGTTATCAGTAAATATTACTGTATAACACTGTGAGACTTCAGCTGTCTTTATTAAAACTATCATGAACGCATATAAATTCAAATTAACTGAAAACTAAACTCGTCATTTGTAACATTATATCTTATTTTGATGCGTTTGAACATTTTGTTCACTAAAAACTGTAGCAAAAGATAATAAAAAAATTCTACACAAAACATACCAGGGACTTTAGGTTTTTGAGTGATTTTCAATCGTAAGGTAGAATCAGCAGATGTGATAATCGATGCATCTAAATCCCAATCGGATTGTAACGGTAAATAAAATTGTTCACCGAATTCATCGACAGCCAAATAACAGATTGAAAAGTCACTAAAAATTTGTACCCGGACAAATAATAAGATATTTACTTCAAGTATTGCAGGCGATTTAAAGTAGACTGAAATAAAATTTACTTTATTAAGTAAAAATAAGCAATACAATGTTTTGCCTGGTAAATGTGTATACCTTAGCAACACATGTTAAGTAATAGGTAAAATCAAAATTGGTAAGTATGTATTTCGCATACAGAAACAAAGAAAACCTACCCGGACAAGATATGTTAGTATCTTAATTATCACAGTTTCTACCCTGTCCGGTACAAAAGAGCCTTAGTAAGGTGCCTCTTCAGTGGCAATCTTCAGTAGAATCCAAAGAATATGCAGTGAGGAAACACTTGGTGAAGAAGAAAGAAAGCTGACACAAACTCTGGTTGATAATAATTATCCAGACACTCGACAAGCAGGTTGGGTGTGAGGACAAACATTCGTCGCGCTATGTCGTGAATTGGCAGAAGTTAGAATTTATGGGTTGACCATTGAATCGGATCCCAATGGCTTAATGTTCTACGAGATAGCCCGACTTGTAACTAGAAGGTCCTGGGTTCTAAATCTGTCGGTGGGTGCGCACTGCCGAAGAGTCCCACACTAGCCTGGCGAAATAGCTGTCCAGTACTCCCAGGTTTTCCAGTGGTTCTCTAACTGATGTTAGCTCGTGATGAAATCCTGTAACAAACCAATACTTAAAGATATAAAGTAGTCAGAACACCAAGACCCACTCTTCTACTCGGCACTAAGAAAGACATGTAAATCAAGCTACCCTATATGGCTGATTATAGCAGCTTGGCAAGTAGACAAAGATTGAACGCCGCGATTAAAAATACTTTTTATGCAGCTAAGATCGTCATAATTGAGAATGTGAAGCCGATATATCTATCTTGGCCCTCAGAACATGCGAAAAATGATGTCACATCCCACTGTATTTACCAATTTGAATGTACGTGTGGACACATACATTGGGGAGGACTCATCGATCTCTGCAGGTAAGGGCTTCAGAGCATATTCCTAAATCGCTCCAGAAATAGATAGAATCTTCTGACCACATTAATGTTGAGAACAGGAGACCTAGCTCCTCTATCGCGAAGCATATTATGGAGACAGGACATAAAATTGACGTTGAAGTTAAGCCTATCTATAGAACGTATTTGGGGAGAGCGTATCGTAAAGTTTGTGGAAGCCCTAGCAATTAGAAAGTTTAAACCACCTTTATGCGATCAAAGTAATAATTTGTCATCACACTAAACCTCCCTTGGTGAACTTCGTTTTGATACTATAGCAGATATACTTTAACCTCTGTTTTTTGGTTTAGTGATCGTCATTGTTCTTTTGACCTTCCATATATCCTTTTAACTTAACTTAAGTCTATTTCCCCACCTCTTACCTCTTTATTAATTTCATACATATTCCTATGACAGGCTTGTGTGTGATCAGATTGTTCGTAATGTGTTGCGCAAATACACATTACAGGATTCAGACAAATTACGTCCTTTTATTATTTTGTCTAAAGAAAGTACTGTCACACTGCATCTCAAATTTCTACTAATGAAATGAAGTATACATAACACTAATTGAAAATTGACCTGATATTTTTCAGTTACTCTTTGAAATAGCTGTCAGATGACTTTGAACGCCTTACTTATATGTGTTTCTACTGCTACTATCGTAGAGATATGTCAGTTAGACCAAAAATAAAGAATATTCTTTGTTTAATTGACAGTTAAGTAAACTCTAGATGTCTTCTAGATATTCAAGTTCATGTTCATACAATACAGGATGGAGATCTAGCTTACTAGTCTAAATACTCAACATTGAATCAGTGGATCCGGGGCTTGAACTCCGCTTTATCTACTTTAGCCTACGTCACTGAGTAGCACTTTCAGTCCACAAATAAGTGTGACTAATATTTAGTACATAGTTAGGGTAACAGAATTCTATTGTCCTATTTGATCTAAAATTAAGGTGAATAAAAATCCAAAGGGAATAGCATAGGTGACAAATATACAGCTGTCTTTATTCCCTCATAACAGCACTAATTACCACAGTTACCGACTAACGAGTTCCATTGGAAAAGTTCCAATTGACAACAGACAATGCGGTTATCGAACAAAAATGATTCCATGGATCATGGCATGTTCCTACTTTTAACTGCAGTCTCAGACCATATAAAATACACAGTTCCAATCCTATTCTAACATTTTAAATTATGCTCTTGTTGGAAACAATGAATATTAGTAGGAGTCCGGCAGAGTAAATAAACAGATTACTACTGGAAAGGAATAATTAGATAGTAATATAAAAGCTAACCGTAGTTATGACATAGAACATACGTCCTAATAGTCTTAATATTAAGAAAAACAGCTACGCACTAGAATTATCAAGGACCATAATAGAAAAATAGCAGCTAAGGATGAGGTTTTAAAAATTGTTTGATTTCCAGGACTTAAAATAACTGTTGAATCTAGCATGGTTGTTTATGCATTCATTATTTCATATTCTTATTGCTTCATTTCGTCAAATTACAATATATCTTCTGAACACACAGCTCCGGCTTCTCGATGCATATTCCGAAGGCTTCTGCAGTACAGAGAAGTCGGAAACATACTGCTTTTGGTAGGTTTCTGTTGACTCTGTAAATTACTTTGAAAGAATCTGTTGAGATGCTGTGGGAGGTGTTGATCAGATGTTCAATAATGGCACTTCTGATTGAACCGGTGCCTCTTCTTTGCAGCCATGCTGAGTAATGTTCTCCAACACATTTTGAAAGAACGCGCATACAACGACCTATGTACCTAGCTCCGCACGAGCAGGTGAACTGGTATATCCACATTGAATTGGTCATATGCGAGAGTTTGTCCTTAGCGTTGTTTTAGTGTATTGGACGGCTAGAGAACGTCACTCTTAGTGTTGCTGCAGGGAAGGTCTTCTTTAAAGAGCTGGATATTTTCCACTTCAAGATATCGGCTGCCAAATCTCATCTGAAATCCAGATTCCTATACAAAGTTTTCTTTGGCGCTGAATCGCATTCTTCTCTTTTTGGTTTAGGTTTCATGTTCACGTGTCGAGGAACCATTTGCAGCCAGGATATTTTTGAGGAATAGGAGCTCCTCTTCCACACAATCACTGCTGCAGATTTTTCTAATCCGATGGCTTAGTGCGTTGATGAGAGATCGTTTTCAGCTCAAAGGTATCCAACTATAGAAATGCGTTAGTTGGCCGTTCAATGTCGGTTTTCTGTGGATAGACCTCTTCAGGGTTCCATCATCTCTTCTCGTTAATTCCACGTCCAAAAATGGAATCTTTGGATTGTTTTCTAATTCCATTGCAAAGAGGAGGCACCGGTTCAATCAGAAGTGCCATTATTGAACATCTGATCAACACCTTCCACAAAATTACAATATATATATATATATCTGAAGAACATCAATATGCGTGAAACATCCGGATGGCAGCAAACCTGAATATTACAAGTGACAAATGAAATGACAACTTAATTAACGATACACTGTAATAATACAAGAGTTCAATCAACTTGTTAACATTGCTGTATGAAACAATACTACACTTTATATAAACCATGTTTTGAATAAATATCAAACATAGTAGATTACTTACGAGTTAATGTTAAAACATTTACACAGCAAACCCAAAAGAACTTTGTAGTCAGTGATATTCGGATCAATAGCAAATTTCTTATACTGATCAGTACCACCTTCTGTACCAAGCTATAAATTAGTTAGCAGTAGATGAAAACCATTTAGGGGTAAAAAAAATGGCGTTACCTTTGCTTTGACAAAGACTACTTCTCGTGAATTGCCTTCTAAACTCATTTTGTTCAACTGTAAACATTCACGATAAATTTTGAAATAGCTGTAAATAAGTTTTGAAAAATTCTTGCGATAAAAGTAGGACCAAGATACAAAAAAAACAAAGATCTATTTTCTTATTAGGATGATGGATGAATTTTACAAAAAACTCAGAATTCAAACTTATGGCAATTAGATTATGCATCTAGTACTCTAGTTTGCAGTTAGGCGGATTTGAAAACCAGTCAGCTGTCGGGTAACACATCCCAGATGATAGAATGCTGGGAATCCATTCTTTCAATTGAGACTAAAACAATATACAATAAAGGCACCGAAAAATGTGCCGCACGAAAACAATTAAGCAATAACAAAATGAAAAAAGAAGTGGAATAATTTAGGGACAACACTACGAGAACAAATAAGCGTACTTATCAGGAGTATACAAAGAAAAGTGATTTACTTCAACCTACTTTAAGAGGAAGAAAGGAAAAATATGCAGCATTTTCATAACTGATTCTGAAACTCATGCGTATCTAACCACGTCCCAGGGCAGTCATTCGGACGGGCTCTCCCAGGGAGTCGTGATCCAACAAAAGCTACCAACCTAAAACAACTACCCTTCATCCCAACGAAGCAGCACATAGGCTGGCTACCACTCTGATTTTCAGCCAGTTCCCAGGACTAAAAAAGTAAACGATATCAGACCGGCTGAGATGACATTCGTAGCAAATGCACAAGCTACTGAAAGCTGGCTCCCCATGATGAAACCACTAATCGAAAAACTACCTCCACTATATTCAAATACGTCGCTGAACCTCAGTTACATACAAGATGACGCAACCGAATGTAAACAGTTCTTCGGAGATATTGATGGTCGAACGCGCAAGTCGCCACACATCCTCAACTCGGACAGACCAGGTTTTAAAGGCTCACAGCAGGATTGTGTACAATGCGGTTTCATGAACCCGACATTCCACGGTCAGTCCAACTTTACGAAGGTGCTGAATGCGGCTCAGTTTGGCATATGCCAATAAACAGTTACATTTCATCCGTCACACCGACAGCACCAAAAACAACTACCTAGAATTAATCGTAAAAGTGATTGTAGTGAAGGGCTCGTAATAATCTTGCGACAATACCTGCACTCATACGAGGCAAAGCACATAATGCACTTCATAATACTAATCGCTAGCGGATTAAGTCAGATATAAGTAGCATGTTTGTCACCGTACAATGAGATAATGTCGTTTATAAGCTCCCGGTCAAAACGTTTTTCCCAGGGATCAGACTTACACGACTACATTCTTTAGAGCTGCCTTGAGGATGTTATTCATAGCAGAGATAAAGATAAGTGGTGAGGTTAAGAAATCCTGTCTACCCTCACTGCCAGTGAAGAACAGTGGTGGTAGGTAGTTGTGTGCTCTCACTTAACTTGAAATGTCTTCGTTTAGGGCTTCTAGAACGTTGAAAAACTTCCTATGTGAAGTTATCTTCAACAGAGGTACCCGAACAACAGTAGTGGCCAACGAATTGAAGTCAGCTCTGATATTAAGAAACACAACGGCCTTCGTCGTGCAATATGTGTGATAGTGCTTTAACAACTGAAAAAGAACCAACACGTGGTTGACGTATCCACAACCTGAACGAAATCTTGTCTGTCCTTTGCAAACCAATTCCTCACACGCTCTACAAAGCCTGTGGAACAAGGCAGAGGTCAATATTTTAGCAGCAACCGATAACGGACCGACACCTCAATGATTGCCAGGTATACCACAGGCCCTTTTTAAAGATAGACACAATAATGGCGCTATTCCAAGTACCTTATATGGTCTCAGTACTTTGAGTTTCTTTCAAATCTCCGCTTTGTTTGATAGCTCGAACACTGTGATTAATAATATTTACTACTGGCACTGTGAACCGACTATGCTGTTTTTCAAAGTGCTCTGCCAAGCGTTCCAAGTGCCGTTTTTGAGGTTGTTTGTAAGTATACCATCTGCTTCACAGACCTAGTTGACAACACGCTTCCTTCTACTGGTGACTCGGATGAGCTAGAACAGCTTCTGACTACTTCCGATTCCATACCATATGTATACTCTGAACGCCAGAATTCGTGATCTTCACGTCAGCATCGGTTGATTTATGCTTAAAACCTTACGCAAAACATTATGCCCGGTATTTACTGGAATGGACTGACAGCCATCTAGAAATAACAAAGAACTCACAGAAAACTAGGTGTTTAGGTGGATGCTCTGCTAAGCTGCAGGTGGTATTGCTCGCCATCTCCATGACTTATTGTGGGCGAAGTCAGTGTTCGTCTATGTTAGCTTTGGCTCCAGCGAGGTTCGATATTTGGCTACAGTAGCAGAAAAGCGGCCGGTCTGCTTAAGTCGACCTATTCAGGACGACATTTATGATTACGCGGCAAGACAAATCCGACTCACGTTAAAGCATGATCGAAATCCAAACAAGTGCTCCATAATGAGCGACAGTTCCGTATGCATTCACAACATCGACAGCCAATGGCAATATGGTCTAACCATCTCCATGCATAGGTGGCAGGGGAAGATGTCACGTACTATTACAGCGACGGTAGTGCCAGGCCTACATCCCTGAGGTCACTGGTTCGGATACTGCTGCGGCCCAGGTTTTCATTTCAACTTCAGTCACATCCTAAATTCACCAACAATGAGGTTATTTTAAAGTGGTCTTATTACGAATTACATTTATTTGCTACATTTGAACCTAAGTATGTCAGTGGTTGTCAATGTCATATCATATACATGAATAGCTGAGGATTGGTTCGCTTTACACATTTAACCACCTAAATCACTCCACTTTGCTCCCTTTTAAAACAGCGCAAATACTGGATTTACGGAAATGGAAAGATACCAGAACAAACGAGAAAAAAATATATATGAAAAGAAAAACTTGTTCTAAAAATCTTATATGAATAGAAAATATGACTGCATCCTTCCATCAGATTATATGCTATGTTATTTAGAAGCTTTGGCTACACATAATAACCATTTCAAAATCCCTTCACATAGGCTACCTTAGCAGTCTAGATAACCAATGGCAGGGCCAATGATTACCTTAATATCTGACTGTATATATGATGTCACTCCTGTTATCAAAGTACACTTTGTTGGGCATCATTGATCGGTAATGATAGTGTCGTCCTGAAATACCGTAAGCACAGGTCATATATCCAAAAATGGTAAATGTATGTGAGAATTAAAACGTTCAAAACTAAATAAGACACCTTAAATTCGTGTGTCAACAAAGAGGTAGTAAACAACGGAGGCTCGTTACGTAGAAAGAGCCCAGTGACATTTTCGATTATCCAAAAAACATTCAGACTAAAACTTTCACACCGTAAGAATGAAATGATTCATTTAAATCACAATCATTTAACGATTTACTGTTTCGAAGCATGGTCTTTGTCTACCATTTTTGAAGTGTAAAGCACCTTTGCAATAATGGAATATGGCGAATTCTTAACTCTGAGTTTGACGGATCCGCCTCCTCCAAAAGACACAATTGCCTGGTGCTTCATGAACCATTGACTGGGTATCAAAGTCAATAAGCTAACAATGGGTATCGTGGAGAGGGATTACCTCAGACCAAACCCCATTAATGACAACAAGCCCCAGGGATCAGTATTTATGGTTACTTGAGGCATGAAGCGGGAAGGCTACAGGAAAATCTTCGCGAAACGGGACACCGGGAGGCAGCACGACAATGAGGAATGAATATCTTTGCAGAACTAACGTAATAGTTTTACAGGAAGAGGTTGTTATTTTGGGTAAACACATGGCTTTCGTTCAACAACGAACGCTATGATTACTCAAAGGTAGAAAGAAATTCACAAGGAATAGATGAGTAACCGAGTATGAGCTACATATTCTCTGTGATTTGTAAGCTCTTTATCTAATGAACGACAACATATGATGAATGAACCTCTGTGTTTGACTAGGTCTCTGTGCCTCAATTGTCTACCACTGTGCTATCGAAATAAACAATCAGACACTACAACTCTCTTCTGCAGGAATATTAGCTGTCGGTCGATAATTTAGGTAATTTTAATAGGATAGTCGGTAATTAAAAATGTAAACGACTAAGGAAAATGCTGTTTAGTATTTCCGGCAGAAAGGGCTAGGAATAAACAAGCCAACGTATTTCCCGGGATCTTAAAAAACTAATTTGTATAAAAATCCTACTAAGAAATGTATAACGTTTCTGTCCCTCTTTTAATTAAAAGCAACAAAAACATCTAGGAAAATATGTGGAGAAAAGCAAAAATGAGGTTACAGGCATTGAGAACAAAACAGATAACAGACGGCTTAAGAAACTTGAGCGAATGACACCAAGAGACGACATGACAGGGATGACAAAACCATGCATAAAAGAGAAAATATAACTGAGCTTAAATAAAAAAAACCACCTGCTAGCATATGAGAGTGAGTTTCGGAATTATAGTTAAGAGTTTGGTTACGAATAAAATTTAAGTTTAAGCTGGAACTGCGGTTGGGACAAAGTTATGCCCACAGCAAATTAACTTTGAGGTTGAAATTCAAGTTGTAATTACCCCTATTTGTCAACTTCAATGTGTGAGTAAAGGATTGTGAAAATTACTGCAACCAGCAGCTAACACTCCACAAAAGCTGTTTAAACTTCCCAACAAGTTCTAAACAACCGCCCTATTGAGTCCAGATTATCTACAGCCGGAAAAGGTATTTATACTGGATATTATAGAATGTAGCCTGATACACTATGCTGCTTACACTAATTCGATAACTTGCCACTCACTACCATTAGTGAGCTAAATGAGTCGTCTCAAAACGTCCCAGCATCTTTTGGCATTAAAGGGATGGCCATTTTAAATAACCGTTGCCTCCTCTTGTCAAGCTTGTCAGGGTCAACCAAGAAAATACTTGGCCAGTAACACATGCAGAACACAGGAAATTTAAAATTCGTCATAAAGTCCAAAGTACTATGAACACTGAGCTGAATAGCGACAAGTAATTGTGTAAGCTTTTTAGAAAGTATAATACACTCCAAATATCCAGTTTTTTCATATCCAACCGGTAAAATCCTCGGCCACTCTGTAAAATGTTCGCCAGATGCTGGAGGAAAACCTTGAGGTGCATTTAGGATTGAGTAACATCTACTGAAATATCCGTAAGTACTAGCTTTTGCAATGTACACAAAAATTTTAGTATGTTACATAACATACTATAGTATGTTATGTAACATACAAAAATTCTATAGAATTTTTGTGAGCATCAACACATTCTGACTGGAGTTAACTGGTAACGTAGAAAGCATGTACGAACATACGTTTGTATTTACTTGTGAATCTATACATATGCATGCATATATATATATATATAATTTCAATTTTAGGGCCTTGTAAAAATACTTTAACTATTCAGTTGCTTCAACGATACATCAGCAATAATCAAGTCTGATCCAATGGTAATTTAGTGACTTTTTGAAATTCGGCCCTTTTGGGATGTCAATGTCATTTCAAAACAGTATACTTACTCTATATTATATTGTACTATAGATGACTTATGAGTCAAAAGTACTGTCTAGGTCATCCAACATCCAATGCGTTCACATAAACACATTGGTTCCTTAGTGATTTCTTCTTCAATCCTTGGACCGAATTAGGGTTTTAATGACTTGTAGCACAAGAGACTTTATTCCTCTCCTCATTTAACTCTGCTAAGCACGTTGTGTAACAACAGAAGACAAGGGCGAAGCAACAGATCGTTTTATTACGAAAATCAACACGTATTTATATATATTTTATATGCATTAATAAGGCTTATGCAAGCAGAAAAAGGCAGTCTTCTGATTGGTTGTTTCTCGGAAGTTAAGCAGACAAACACAGTCTTATGATTGGTTGTGTTCGATATTTCTCGGAAAGTAGAGCCATCTATCTGCGAATCATATTTGTCCACATTTAGGTTTGCTGTGATTGGTTGTTGAAACAGCCTTGTTCACGGCCAATATTAGTGACCTAGACATTAACGTAGATTAGTGCCAACCAATCGGCTAGCAGCCTGCTCTCACCACACTCGTCCCCCCTTCAAATAGCTTTGTGCGCAGACGTTCCGACCTTCTGGGTGCTACATCCTCTAGTTGAGGATTGTTACTGACCGGCTTGTCCCACTGTACCCATCTTTGTAGCTGACTGGCGTTAACTCGTTTCTGTTTATCACCTCTTCGGATGGTATATACTTGACCCCGTCTTTTTGTGATTGTGTATGGTCCTTCCAGATGACATGGAACTCTTCGCGTTGTAAATGACCTTACTTTCGGATCACTTAACGGAATTTCATGATTCACCTTATCGCAATAACCGTATGGGTCGCCATCTCCAGTGAACAGATGATCGTATTTACTAATTAACTCTGTCACATTGTGTACCGTCGGCAGCTTAATCGCTGCTATCTCGCTGGTCTCATACATGTTGATATGCCCGTATTTCGTGACCACCACGTTCGCTTGCGTGTCGATTATGGCACCAATCTCACGCAGAAAATCCGCTCCTAATATCGTTCGCTGTAGTTCGGGTACAACAATGAAAGGAAACGTCACCTCGCAGCCACCAACAACGACCGTACAGTTCGATCTACCCGTTATACGCAACACATACCCGCCTACTGTTTGTACTGTCAATGAACACGGGCTAACACTCTTACATAAATTCTTATCTATTAACGACACGGCCGCCCCTGTATCTATCAAACATACTACTTCTCGATCATTCACTCGCAACTTCGAATACAGAGCGCCTTTCTCAATAGCCCCCACTAAATCTAGGTTCATACGAAAGAAAGAACAAGCATTATACCGTCTGAAATTTTTTCTTTTCCGCCTTTCTGGGCAGTATCTTCTCCAGTGTCCCGGCTTACCGCATTCAAAACACCGGTCTTTTCCATCAGCCAATTTTAACGCCGCCACTTCCCGCTGCAATGCTTCAATTTTCTGCTCATACTCGTTTGGTTTTGGTTGGTCTATAGCGGCTACCGTTGTGCTCAGCAGCTGTCTGGTCACCTTCGCCAGCTCGCTAATATCCATCGGCTGCGTTGCGTTAACCAGTTGTAATCGCTGAGAAATGTGGTCTGGGACACTCTCGATGAATTGGGAAGACAGTAACTGCGCTTCTGATTCTTCATCCAAAGTGGGAAGCGCGCGTCGAAGTAGATTCGTCAGTTTCACCGCCAACACTAGCGGGTCTCCATCAGGTCCAAGCTTCATTGACCGGAACTGCTGCATTGCTAGCTGTCTGTCTGTTTCGCTGTCAAACTCGGAAACTAGTCGTTCAACCAATTTCTTCCAAGACGCTGTGCCATTTGACCTGTCTACGCTGTCATATGCAGCCTTCGCTCGGCCTCTCAACAGCGTCCCCAAGACAACTGCCTTCGCTGCCTGCTCCTTGACACCCACCAGCTCAGCAACAGCCTCGAAGTCACGTAAGAAGCTCCTTATGTCTCCTTCTTCAAACGCAGCTGGCCACGGGATCTTCATTTTCTGGAGGCAGCGACACCAAATGTAACAACAGAAGACAAGGGCGAAGCAACAGATCGTTTTATTACGAAAATCAACACGTATTTATATATATTTTATATGCATTAATAAGGCTTATGCAAGCAGAAAAAGGCAGTCTTCTGATTGGTTGTTTCTCGGAAGTTAAGCAGACAAACACAGTCTTATGATTGGTTGTGTTCGATATTTCTCGGAAAGTAGAGCCATCTATCTGCGAATCATATTTGTCCACATTTAGGTTTGCTGTGATTGGTTGTTGAAACAGCCTTGTTCACGGCCAATATTAGTGACCTAGACATTAACGTAGATTAGTGCCAACCAATCGGCTAGCAGCCTGCTCTCACCACACTCGTCCCCCCTTCAAATAGCTTTGTGCGCAGACGTTCCGACCTTCTGGGTGCTACATCCTCTAGTTGAGGATTGTTACTGACCGGCTTGTCCCACTGTACCCATCTTTGTAGCTGACTGGCGTTAACTCGTTTCTGTTTATCACCTCTTCGGATGGTATATACTTGACCCCGTCTTTTTGTGATTGTGTATGGTCCTTCCAGATGACATGGAACTCTTCGCGTTGTAAATGACCTTACTTTCGGATCACTTAACGGAATTTCATGATTCACCTTATCGCAATAACCGTATGGGTCGCCATCTCCAGTGAACAGATGATCGTATTTACTAATTAACTCTGTCACATTGTGTACCGTCGGCAGCTTAATCGCTGCTATCTCGCTGGTCTCATACATGTTGATATGCCCGTATTTCGTGACCACCACGTTCGCTTGCGTGTCGATTATGGCACCAATCTCACGCAGAAAATCCGCTCCTAATATCGTTCGCTGTAGTTCGGGTACAACAATGAAAGGAAACGTCACCTCGCAGCCACCAACAACGACCGTACAGTTCGATCTACCCGTTATACGCAACACATACCCGCCTACTGTTTGTACTGTCAATGAACACGGGCTAACACTCTTACATAAATTCTTATCTATTAACGACACGGCCGCCCCTGTATCTATCAAACATACTACTTCTCGATCATTCACTCGCAACTTCGAATACAGAGCGCCTTTCTCAATAGCCCCCACTAAATCTAGGTTCATACGAAAGAAAGAACAAGCATTATACCGTCTGAAATTTTTTCTTTTCCGCCTTTCTGGGCAGTATCTTCTCCAGTGTCCCGGCTTACCGCATTCAAAACACCGGTCTTTTCCATCAGCCAATTTTAACGCCGCCACTTCCCGCTGCAATGCTTCAATTTTCTGCTCATACTCGTTTGGTTTTGGTTGGTCTATAGCGGCTACCGTTGTGCTCAGCAGCTGTCTGGTCACCTTCGCCAGCTCGCTAATATCCATCGGCTGCGTTGCGTTAACCAGTTGTAATCGCTGAGAAATGTGGTCTGGGACACTCTCGATGAATTGGGAAGACAGTAACTGCGCTTCTGATTCTTCATCCAAAGTGGGAAGCGCGCGTCGAAGTAGATTCGTCAGTTTCACCGCCAACACTAGCGGGTCTCCATCAGGTCCAAGCTTCATTGACCGGAACTGCTGCATTGCTAGCTGTCTGTCTGTTTCGCTGTCAAACTCGGAAACTAGTCGTTCAACCAATTTCTTCCAAGACGCTGTGCCATTTGACCTGTCTACGCTGTCATATGCAGCCTTCGCTCGGCCTCTCAACAGCGTCCCCAAGACAACTGCCTTCGCTGCCTGCTCCTTGACACCCACCAGCTCAGCAACAGCCTCGAAGTCACGTAAGAAGCTCCTTATGTCTCCTTCTTCAAACGCAGCTGGCCACGGGATCTTCATTTTCTGGAGGCAGCGACACCAAATGTAACAACAGAAGACAAGGGCGAAGCAACAGATCGTTTTATTACGAAAATCAACACGTATTTATATATATTTTATATGCATTAATAAGGCTTATGCAAGCAGAAAAAGGCAGTCTTCTGATTGGTTGTTTCTCGGAAGTTAAGCAGACAAACACAGTCTTATGATTGGTTGTGTTCGATATTTCTCGGAAAGTAGAGCCATCTATCTGCGAATCATATTTGTCCACATTTAGGTTTGCTGTGATTGGTTGTTGAAACAGCCTTGTTCACGGCCAATATTAGTGACCTAGACATTAACGTAGATTAGTGCCAACCAATCGGCTAGCAGCCTGCTCTCACCACAGTTGGACTATTTGTTTGATATCATGATAACACATATGTGGTTATAGGAACTACGACATATACTTCACTATTTAATCTTCTATACCACTCCAATATCCTCTACATCCAATCAGTCGATAGGCCTTCTTCCAACGAAAGCTAAAATAAGCATGGAGCGTCCACATGATGTTTGAGGCCCGGATGGCTGCTCAGATTCCGAATGATACAGAAAGCTATGGATCTGTGTGAATGGATGCAATGGAAGTGGACTCCCAAATTGTTAGCTGGAGAGTCAATAATCTCCTGCGGTCTCCCAGATGACAAAAGTAATGACAGAAGTAGCTATCGTTATGTCACCAACAGCCTTAAAAGCTCATGCGTTGGAAACCAATCTATTCCGGGACCAAGACGACAATATTCTATTCCCGAAAATTGTTCGCATCTAATGACGAAGGAAGAATTATGCAGACAGCTGTAAACAGTAGTGAAAATAACGCCAAACGGTCAAGAATCTGCGGGACATATTGTAAATATTTGCCTTTCTGACACTGAATCTGTGGTTATGATCTTGTTGACATGTAGTACTTATAACTATCTGTTTGATGTACTGTGACTGTTTAAGACTATCTAATATCTATAACTGTATGTATTGTTGAATTTACATGTTAAAGTTGGCTCAAGTCAGTGAGTCTATGATTTTGGTATCACTTTGGTTAACTGTTCTTAACTGTGACATTGTTATTGTTGTTGTCGCTCGTTGCCCTTTTTGCTGTGAATTACTTTCCTTTTGCTGGTGCCGTTCTGATTGTTTTATTTCTTGTTTTCCGGTTTTAAGGGGAGCAACCCACAAGGTC